AAAAGAAAAATTCAAATATTTCAATGAAATTTGAATATTTCGAATATCAAATTATTCGAATTAAGTGAACAGCGCTGCTATTACACACTCCTTGCTCAAAAACTAAAATTATCGAAATTTCTGGTTAATATTAGTACTAAAATATAAAAACAAAAATATATATTAGAATTATATAATTTTTAGTATCTTCACCTTATATTGTCAACCGGAGATCATCCCCTTAATTCCCCGAATACACCACTGGATATATAAATGCCTTCTTTGTGTAGATTTTTAATTATTCTGTTTTATTTAACAAAGATTTTAATTTTTTTTTAACATTTTTATGCCAATTTTTAAAAAAATATAAAAAAATGTTCCTTTACATATACCATAGAAAGAAATGCAGACATTTTTTATATGTTGTATATATGCAATGTGGGTCATTTAACATAAGGCGATATCTCACAAATTTTAATTAAAATTTTGACATATTTCAAAGAAACGAATTAAAACCAAATAATAAATTGCAATAATATAATAAGTTTAATAAACTTTTGCATTTTTACAACAACAAGCTATAAAATCATAAGAAAAAATTTTGCCCATACAACAATAACTACACCCACATTTTTTAAACTATAGGCACATAACAGCACCACCAATATTTTCAATGACTGCTTACTCTGTTGACTCTGCTATTATATATACCACTAAACAATTCCATAAACATCGGGTATTAGCAATTAAAACAAAAACGAAATTTTTTTTAAACTTTTAAACAATTTTATGCCTTTTTTTTATACATAAAATATTTCTCGTTTCATATATTTTTTTTAGCATTTTTATTTCATATTTTTAAAATATTTAAAAATATATATATTTATACAAAGACTTTCTAGTTTAAGTATTATTTTCGATTTTGTTAACCTACAATTCATTTTTGATGCTGTTAGTTAGCACTTCTGTGTGGTTTAAGTGTTTTCTTTCCGGTAAGTGGAGATCACTGAAGATGATAAGAAAGAAATAATGAAGTTTCCACCCATTCGACAGTGAAAGTCAAAATTCCAAAATCCCCGTCTCAGTAATTAAGAACGAAAATAGAACTAAATATGCTTAACATCGAAAAATCTAAACTTATCAAAACCAAAAGGCGAGGACGGCGGTGAAAGATGTTTAACTAGTAAAGATGCTGGTATATCAAGGATAGAATCACAGAGAGGTTATTAACTATAGACTTTGTAAATGGAAGAGTCAAAATAACAGACGAAACTTCATCAAAGTAGAGTGAAAGTTGTTGGTCGTGTATCTCCTAAAACACGTCAAAACTGCAGTTACAATCTGCAAAAAAAACTATTTATCCATAAGTCAGACCTATGCAAATATTGCTATTAATATAATAAATTTTATTAACTTAATACCCTAGTATATATTAAGCTTTGTAGTTGATAATTGAAAATTGAAATTAACATAGCAGAATGGATTACAGTTCAAGAACCTAAAACAATTTCTTAATCAAAATAACAAACTGAAAAAATGCGGTAAGAAAATGATATTTTCCATTTCACGGTTGTCTAAACATATAGTAATGACGTGACACCATATAGAAATGAATCAGGCAGGTACGCTAATGGATTAAAAAACTATGTAAGTAACTTATAGCCTAGACAGATTCACATAGTTTACCGTCGTTTTCTTTCTGACTTCTAAGCGTATATATGTATATCTATAATTTTAAACTCATATTTATATTGAAAATAGATTTTAACCATAGATGCTATCGAAATATTTTGTAAATATTTTTTAAATTCAAACGGTAAGTTCCTTTATTTGAGCTATATGAAAATTATGTGAGATTAAGTATATTACTAAATGTTCAAATTTTTATATAAAATAATTGTAGAATAATATGAAGAATAGTCTTACTAAGGATTACTTATAATGGTTTTGAATGATATTTTACTTCCCTAAAAATCTTTGCCTAAAAGAGTGTTTATTGATCGATCATTTCATTCCTTTGCTTGAAGATAACTATTTATGTGAATAATAAATCGATAAAGATATATTATGAAGAAGAAACGTCTGAAGACTATACTGCAATGTACAATTATATTAAAATGTATAAGTAACTTAGAAATGTTATCATCTTTTTTGAAAAATTATATTAGCAATGTTACAATTAAATTAAATTTAATTAAATATTAAAACAATTGATATAATAAAAAATGCAATTAATTTAATTAAATGCAATTAAAATTAATTGGTTCTTATTTTTATAAGAATCGTATTTTTTTTGCATTTTAAATCGTATATCAATAAAAAATTACTATATACTTACTTTATACTTGTATTATAATATACTAATATTATTTGTACCTATAGATTTATACAGTTTATATTCAGAGGCGAGGCGTCGAATGGTTCAGAGTGTTCACTTTAAAGCTTCCTTTAAGATCTTTTTTTTTTTAGGTAAATAATCTCGCTATTTTGTTACTTAACATTTTTTATAATAGCTTTTCCAAACAGATTAACATAAACACAAAACGTACAATACAAACAAAATCACACATACATAACATTAATAAAAGAGAAAACACATTCCTCGTAAAATATACTAAGGTTCAGAATAAAAACTGCACCGCGCTGCTTACAAAGCATGCAAATGAAATAACATTCACATTGGGAATATGTTCAATATTGAATAAACACAAAACATACAAACAAATATAAAAATAAAAGAGAAAACAAGCCCCGCAGAATATGTACGTAAAATAATCATAACTCTTAAATTAATGCGTGCAAGCGGTTCAATAAAAAAAGTGAACCACCAATGTTATGCAAAGTAAATACAAAAGAGAAAAGAAATGACTGAGCGAAAATCGCTTACATTTGACTAGAGGTTCAGTCGACTAAACTGAACTTTAAGTTCATACAAAGCGTGCAAATACAATCAAAGTCACGGATGCCGTTTTATATGACCAAATGGTTCAGTAAAAAAACTGAACCGCGCATAGTAAATACAAAGTAAAAGAGTAAATGAATGCATGAGAATTTCTTACTCTTATGTAGAGGTTGGAAATAAACCAAATCAAAGTTTTATACTAGCAAAAAAGTAAAGAAAAAAATTAAAGAAATTTGAAGTGAAAAATAATATTTAGAAATGGATTAATGTGTGATTAAAAATTTGATTCAAATATTTTTTTTTAAACGATCTTCTGAAAAAAAGGTTTTTATTCATAAAATGAATAGACCGACTCCAGATATGAAGAATTTGGTACCTGATGTAAAAATGTCGAAATCCGTGGTAAGTCGCCGTTTTCCTACAGTTATTTACCATAAAAACCAGTGGATCACAGGCTGCGAACATTTAATAAATTGTTTCGTTGGTCTTGTACGCTATTTACTTGTGGAAAGGACAAAACTCAGGAGTAGGGGGAATACGTTATAGTTGGAATTCTGTTTTGATCAAATTGTGAACACCTTGCCAAAAAGCTGACGCCTCGCTGCTGTTTATATTATTTATATCATCTGCAATAGCTTTATGAATATTTTATGTTTCAAGTTAATATCATGTGCGAATAGCTCCGTAAGACATAAACTTGACATTTAAAGAAATATCTACCAATCGATATAGTTTGTATCTATCAACTTTAACTTGAATTTTGAGTTTATACCTGTATTTGAGTTTTAGTTATAATTATTAATATTTTACCATTTATTTACACTTTAGCAATGATCTGTTCACCTTGCTAATTAATAAAACTCTAAAAATTTTCAATGTTAATAAACTTTTATTCAACTTTTTACAGAGAGAAAAATCGAAACGTTCTCATCAATCAAAACAAAAACTTAAAAATATTTGAAATTGAATTTTACTTTTTAAATTCAATAAATGCACAGCCAACTGGGTCGCCACAGTACCCCCTCCTAGCGATGGAGTACTAGCAACAACGCGACACCACAACTAAGTCGACAACACCACTCTTAATCACGAAATTCCGCTAACCTTGCTGGGAAACGCACTACTCTACCAGCTCGTGTCACTTTCGGAATCGGCAACAGGGATTCACGCCTACAATCACCAGAAGTCACTAACTGATCACCATTCAACAGCGCTGAAGGCTGACGCGTTTCTGGAACAACCTGTTCAAGATCATCACACGTTAAGTACGCCGCCTTCAACCTATCATTCGAAACAGTCACCTCTCTCCCACGGCAAACAATAACAGACGTCTTCTCATTACGACTCAGCACCTCAAATGGACCTTCGTAAGGCTGCTCAAGTGGAGCTCGAGCACGATCCACTCGAAGAAAAACGTGCTTACAATTAATAACGTCACGCGGAACATACACAGATGGATGACAATGTCTTGTTGATTCAACGGATTTAACCTTAGCTAAAGTCCTTCGCAACGCCGACACAAAATCAGTCTCGGACGACTTCTGCTTGAAAATCCGAAAGCATCTGCCCTGGAACACAAAGAGGATTTCCAAACAACATCTCTGAAGGACTAGCATTTAGGTCTAACTTCGGTGTCGTTCGCAATCCCAACAACACAAGCGGAAGAGACTGCGTCCAATTACTTGAGGAATGACATCGAATGGCTGCCTTCAATGTTCTATGGAAACGTTCAACCATACCATTTGCTTGAGGATGATAAGCCGTGGTATGAAAGTGTTTCACTCCAAGCAATCTCGTCAGTTCCCGAAATACAGCAGACTCAAACTGCCGACCCAAATCAGTGGTAATAGCCTGCGGAGAACCAAAACTTGCCCCCCAACCGTCGATAAAAGCCGCTGCAACTTCTTCTGCCGTAATGCCCGACAGAGGCACAGCAACAGGCCACCGAGAAAAACGATCGACGCAAGTCAAACAATAACGCTTCCCCTGAGACAAAGGCAATGGACCCACAATGTCAACATGAACATGCTGGAACCGACTATCAATATCAGCAAACGAACCAATTGGTGTTTTAGTATGCCGCTGAATCTTGGACTTCTGACACGCAATGCAACTACGCACAAACACAGCTACATCCTTAACCAAACCAAGCCAAACATACCTAGCCTGCACCAATTTCCGCGTTGCTCGAATACCAGGATGAGCCAAACCGTGGAGTTTTGAGAGTACCAGCTGCCGACAGTTTGCGGGAACAAAAGGACGAACACGACTGCCTGACACATCACAGTACAGTTCAATACTCGAATCCGGCAATCTCAACTTCTTCAACCCAACACCATCTTCAGACTGGCTCTTCAGCTGAGCGAGCAACTCTGCATCAGTCTTCTGCCCCTCAGCAATTAACTCAATAACATTTGCCTCCAACTGAACCGTAGCAACCCGAGACAAAGAGTCAGCCACCGTATTATCTGCACCAGCCAGATGACGAATATCAGTGCAATACTGACTAATAAACTCCAGCTGTCTTGCACGACGAGGAGATGCCTTCTCACTTATTTGCCTGAACGCAAACGTTAATGGTTTGTGATCCGTAAAAATGACGAAATCACGACCCTCTAATGCATACTTAAAATGCTGGACAGCTTGATAGATAGCAGTCAACTCACGATCATAAGCACTATACTTAGTCTGCGCTGGACTCAAACCTTTTGAATAAAATGCCAATGGCTGAGTCACACCTTTCACTACTTGTTGGAGAACAGCACCCACCGCAACGTCTGAAGCATCAGTCGTGAGCGTCAATTGTGCATCCAGAGCCATGAAGTTAAGCAACGTAGCTTGGGCAAGATCATTCTTGCAAGCCTCAAAAACCTCTACATCTTCTGGAGTCCAAGAAATCACCGACTTATCATTCTTGCGGTTACCTGGTGTAAGATGAAACAACCGCTGCTGATTCTGCACAGCGTTACGCAGAAACGGCCGATAAAAGTTCACCATGCCTAAGAATTGTCTAAGCTGTTTAACCGTTGCTGGCAGAGGAAAATCACGAACAGCTTGAACTTTACTCTCCGGAGGACGTAAACCCTTTGCACTAATAACGTGCCCAAGGAACTCGATCTCGGAACAGCCGAACTTACACTTGGCAAAATTCACGGTCAAACCAGTTTCTCTAAGTCGATCTAAAACCAGTCGCAAATGCATTCTGTGTTCTGCTTCATCTTTTGACGCAATTAAAATATCGTCGATGTACGCAAAAACGAAATTAAGATCACCTAGAGTCTCATTCATAAAACGCTGAAACGTCTGGGCAGCATTACGGAGACCGAAAGTCATAAAGCGAAACTCGAACAGGCCAAACGGAGTTGTAATAGCTGTCTTCGGAATGTCTGCCAGTGCAAGCGGTATCTGATGATACGCTTTCTGCAAATCTATCTTCGAAAACATAGTTTTACCATGAAGAATACTCGTCACATCATGAATGAACGGAATCGGATACCGATCAGGTTTAGTTTGCGCGTTGAGCATGCGATAATCGCCACACGGTCTCCAACTTCCATCGCCTTTGCGAACCATGTGAAGTGGACTTGCCCAACAGCTTTTCGAAGGTTGACAAATCCCCGTCTGGACTAAAAATTGGAATTCCTTCTTGGCTTCTTCAAGTTTGGCTCCAACTAAACGTCGGGGACGAGCAAATGACGGCGCACCAAATGTCTCGATGCAATGTTCAACCTTAGTAACTAAACCCATCCGATTTGCACTCATAATGCCTAAATCACGGTATTCATTAACCAGCTCAGCATAAGCTGAAACTGAACCACACACACGCACAGTATCTTCTTGAGACACAGCAGCCTTACCCTTCATCATCAAAGTCGTCTTCGAATCAACTAACCGCTTCCTTTTCAAATCCACTAACAAATCATAGTGATTAAGGAAGTCGGCTCCAACAATAGGACAGCTAACATCCGCAATCACGAACGTCCACGGGAAATCTCTACGCAAACCCAAAGACAAAAGCAGTCGACGCTCGCCAAATGTTTGAATAGGCGTACCATTAGCGGCATATAAATTAACTGATGCAACACTGTTAGCCCTTTGCTTCCAACGACAGAACGACTTCGGTAAAACTGATATGTCCGCACCAGTATCAATGAGGAAAACGGTCGACGTGGCGGGATCTTTAATACTAAGTCGAGCTATACGAACACTAACCCCTTCTCGGCTCGACGACGTAGAAGGAGTGCCTAGTTTTTTGACTGATGAGAGCTTGCCACAAAACTACAGGGCTGCCGACAAGCATTAGCTCTATCACCAAACCTTTCGTGATACCAGCACCAATCTGGATGACTTCCTGGTCGGGAACGAGTTCGCCTACGCCTCCTCGATGACGATCGACTTTGCACCGACTCACTACGACGTAAATCCAAACGACTCAGACGCTGTTCGATTTGCTCAAGCCTTCGTAAAATCACAGCATTCTCAGAATAGGCTGGACAATCAGAGGCTGACGCTACAGCTATCTGTTGAAAATCACCCGCCTCGCAAATACGGTCTGCTAATTTCGCCAGTTCTGCTAGTGCCACATTCGATGCCTGCAGAATAGCGCGCACTTGTGGTGGCAAACGCTTCAGCCAAAGAGACTTAAGGAACTCATCGCTCACCTTGTCTTTAGCTAACGCTGTCAACTCCGTTAGCAACTGTGTTGGGCGTCTATCACCAAGTTCAACTTCTGACAACAACCGTTGAATCTTCCGCTGCTCGCTCTCACTGTACCGCTCTATGATGCAAGCCTTTAAATTAGCGTAACTTCCAGTTTCAGGAGGATGAAGCACTGCATCACTTACATCGGCGATAACACTTGACTCAATCGCTGCTACTACCGTGTTGAACTGTGTGATGTCACTCGTAATGGCAGCTACTGCAAATTGCGCCTCGATCTGAGCAAACCAAATCTCCGGTCGCTCGTGCCAAAACGGTGGCACCTTCACTGCTACACGGTTTACGACACTTCCACTATCAGAAGCCATAACTACACCTTCGTCTGCAACTGACATCACAGCTCGATAATTAGATATTTAGCTCAGAAGTTAATATTTCTAAATTTAAACTTTTTCGAGATCACGTCGGGGTCACCAATTTAGCAATGATCTGTTCACCTTGCTAATTAATAAAACTCTAAAAATTTTCAATGTTAATAAACTTTTATTCAACTTTTTACAGAGAGAAAAATCGAAACGTTCTCATCAATCAAAACAAAAACTTAAAAATATTTGAAATTGAATTTTACTTTTTAAATTCAATAAATGCACAGCCAACTGGGTCGCCACAACACAAATCAATTCGCTCAAGGAGGTTTATTAAAATTTGCAGAGTAATAATTATACCCATAACAACAATATTAATAATATAATACAACATATTAGAGCTGGTAAGTTACATTTTCATATTTCCAATTTTCATATAGAGTTTTCTATTTTAACTAAGTTGCAGTAATTATCATCTTTCTAAATTTTTATAAAGATGTAATTAACTTGAATATCGTCAGTAATCGAATAATTGTTATTATTATTTTTTTTAATATTATAAGGTTGTTTGGATGATTTTCATACAGTGATTAAGTTTTTTATTATAATTTATATTATTAAACCATCCAATAGAAAAAGTGAACTCGAATATAAATGTTTTGAGGTAAATATATAAAAGATAAATACTATCTTTTTGAAGTGGTAATGATATCTCACTGGTTTTTTATTGTTCGTTACTTTATCAATCTTGACTTTATAACTAACATATAATACTACTTTAGAGACAAGTTTTCCACAATGAAGAAACAGTCAAAATTTTGAAAAACTTGTGGGGTTGGATGAGGTGATAATAAAATGATGTAAAACTCTTTACACTTGATGAACACAAGCTTTGTATCAGTGATGATTTGATTGCTTTAATATAATGTTTAGTTTCCTGATGCTGACTTTAGACTAAAATCAAGATCTCAAACAAATAAAAATTGTTGCAAAATAAATTGTGATTTCTTTTTATTAGTTTTTATTTTCCAACATTAAAAAAAAAAATTTGACCAATTTTATATAACCTTTAAGCCCAATTAAACCCATAATAAAATAGAGAAAAGCTAAAAAAAAATATACTAAATCAATGAAATTAACTAATCCGAGATTACTTAATCTTATAAGTAACGAGACATACTAGTATATATTTGCAATGAACTGCAACTAAACTTCAGAAACTGTGTCATAAACATATTGGTTGACTAGAGCACTGCTTTGGGTACACATAGGTACCTGGGCTGTTTGAAATTTACAAGTAATAGAAACACATTAAATATTCAAAAATAAGTATTGCAGCCAAAAGTGTCATAAATTTTATTATGTGGTATGATTTATTTTATTCAAAACAAATTTAAAAATATCTGAAGCAATGACATTAAAATACAGAACTAAGTAAACGGAATCCATTAGTATTTTGGTAAGCAATTTAAAGCCTAAACTGGAATTAAATTGCGTCTGAATGAAAAAATGTACGGTTAACATAGTATAGTTTTTTTTTTATAAACATAACATAGGTAAGAATCAAAAATATTTTATTTGGAATTAAATAT